GTTGGACTCCGTTACAATCTTCTTCAGTCTCCTGTTGCAGTCGTGGATTTGCTTGGACAGCCTGAGAGCAACTCCCTGTCTGTCTGGAACAAAGCATTTCTAATAAAAAGACATTTACAGAAAATACAAACACTAACAACACCTGTCAACATCACATGAGATTTCATTATTTATATTATTTATATTATTATACTTCATTATTATATATTTTAACCACCTGAGACCCACTGCCCTCATATGGAGACATGCTGGTGATGGTAGCTCCATCTTCATCCTCCTCTTTCCAATATATCCACTAACCCTCTGTGCACATGTACAAACTGTCTCAGGCTCTCAAACTTTCAAACCTGAGCTGTGCCTGCAATGTACTCATTTCTAATCCTTTCCATTTTGGCCAGTCTAAGCATTTAGAAATAAATAAATACAAAAACACCATTCAAAGATAATTCTTACTTTTTAGGTCCGAACAATCTGAAATATCTTGGAGAAATGAACAATATATCCTAAACCTGCCCTCAGGTCCATGAGGTTAATGCAGTCATTACGTGGACATGTTTCATTTTAAAATGAGATCAGAATAATCTGGCATTAAGTAATAAATGTGTAAGAACAAACTTGTGTTCACAAACATGTTTATCTCTCTTGTGTTTACTGCATGGGTCTGTGATCCTCTGGTAAATGTAGCTCTGACTCAGGCCGAGCCGTCTTATAGCAGGTTTGCTATAGAAAGACAAGGATTATGGGAAAAAACAAAAAAGAAAACAAGCAAATATAAAATCTATTTCACAGCAATTATGAGCTATTTTGAAAGAAATCTGAAATCCCAACATTTATGAATATAAATAATGATTAGCTTCTTACAGTCCACTTCTCTGGAAGGTGGATAGATTTTTGTGTGTTTTCCTAATGCAGGTTTTGCAATATACACAAGTACTGCTGTGTTCATACGCCGATGTTCTCCATGTTCTTTGCACATAATGCAAATGTTTGTGGATGGTGCTGAGGATTTATATGACATCTTTCAGTGAATCCCACAGGCTGAGATCTTCTCTCTTTGTCTTACTGTTTGCTGTCTCTGAACCAAAATTGCTGCAAGTCACATTATCATGTTCTCAGCCAGTGGTGTGACTGGTGTGGGGACAGGTGAACCAGTCTGAATGAAGCTGGGAAGTGAGGACTTCATTTGTAGATATGAAAATGTAACAGCACCACTGATGGTTTTCATTATTATCTTGTTTGTCCTGAGGTGTGCCGTAGTCATTTTCCACACACTTCAGATGTTTCATGTTTACACACACACCTGTAATGTGGTCCTCTAGCTGAATATTGTTAAGGAGCAGCCACGTGTATTTAAAACAAAGATAAAACAGCTTCCAGTTTTGTACCAGTTTGTATCAAAATAGATTCTGTCTGTACTGGATCTGGATTGATCATCGTCTCTCCAACAGCGACACAGCGATCCGGCTCACTGATTGGTGATAACGACCTGCTGAGCCTGCTAGCAGGTGCAGGAGGGCCAATCGGAGCCACAGTTATGGGGCTGATAACTGCTGACAACGCCCATTGATGGACTGATAACATCCGAAAATGCATTTTCCCACAGTTATGCCACAAATCAGATGCACTTTGCTCTTTTGTTTTTTCTTGTACTTGTGCTGCTTGCTTTTCATAAACTTGAATGAATGTCTGATAGAATGCCTGTAACTATGCGCTTGGTGTGGCTGAGAAAATTGCTCATCAACTTTACTGTTGCGGTGAGAACCTGCTGATGGCATTGTAACACTTTCCAATTATTGTGTTCTTGAGGAGGAAAAGTGGCTTCATTGATGCTTTGCTAACACCATCAATAAAGTCCCAAACCCAGGAAGCCTTCGTGTGCGCTACATGATCTGTGATTAACAGATATTTGCTGTACACTGTGCAAGAGTTTATACAAGTATGGACTGAATAGTGTGTGCATGTGCTTAGGATGACATGTGTGTCAGTTTGTGTACATTGCCATTGCCCAATAAATCATACCTGTCACTGCAGTTTATGTCTATAAACATGGACAGCCAGAGAAATACCTCGAGGTATTCCATAAGAATACCCTGTACTTCAATTCTCAATGTGAGCGGGGTACCTTCAGATACAGCAGATAAATTAAATACAGGCTTTTGTATTGTTTATAACCTTTCTGATGATGAGTGGCATCTAAAATTTACTCAGAAGTCAGTGTGCCATATGATTGCATTAGTAATAAATTTAATAACACTCTATATCAGGGGTCCCCAATCCCAGTCCACGAGGGCCAGTGTCCCTGCAGGTTTTAGATGTGTCCTTGATCCATCACAGCTGATTTAAATGGATAAATTACCTTCCCAACATGTCTTGAAGTTCTCCAGAGGCCTGGTAATGAACTAATCATGTGATTCAGGTGTGTTGACCCAGGGTGAGATCTAAAACCTGCAGGGACACCGGCCCTCGTGGACCGGTTATTGGGGACCCCTGCTCTATATGAACAGTTACACACTATATAGAACAACTTTATAGAATTACATTTGTTTGCAGATGTTGGCAGCTATCAGTGAATAGTTATTAGCTATTTTGAAATAAAAAAGACACCTTTGATCCATAACAAGAACTCGATAGCAACAAATGAACTGTACAACAGAAAATGCAAATGCTATTTATGGTCTCCTCACAACAATGATATATACTGTCAATAAGGCCTCTGCAATGTTCTTAAGACAGTTAAACTTGTCAGGTATGATCAGATGTCCAGCAGGTGAAAACGCAAGCTCCATGAACACGCACAGCTATCGATTCAGCTCTAATATTATTACCACACAATCCAAGGACACACCAACAGCTCAGATTTCTAGAACAAATGCCAGTCTATCCATTCATTTTCTTCTGAAGATCCTGTTGAGACTTTTCAAAATAAATTGAATCACGTGAAAGAGTATGCAGAATATTTACAGATGAGAAGCCAAAAAATGCTGACATGTGCTAAAAAATAAACCGTAGACTCAAACGTTAGAACAGGCTTCTCCCCGCAGCACGATGTGAAATAAAAACTCACAAAGAAGACGGCAGCTGTTACAACTTGTGTCTAAAAATGTATCGTTTCATGCATCAGTTAAAACACTCGACTCCAGCTGCACGACGCGCAGCTGTAAACACTTCACGCAAGTCGAGCTGCCCGAGATTCACAGAATTTCACAGAAAATGTTACATTTTTGTGATCGTTATCAGGACGACAGACGTCTTATATCCTGATATGAGAGTTTGGTCATATCACAGCCCTACCTGCACCCCTCTACAATCACACCTCGTCGGCTTAAAACCTGCTCTGCTTGTGTTGTTGTTGGTTGTGATGTGCATGACTGCCAGCGGGAGAGCAGCAGGCACTGAATGTACTGTTACAGCAACCGTGTGATTATTGTAAGAATAAATGATGCTGCAAAGCATGAAAATGCCATCGGGTCTGCTGCGGTGGTTTAGTTAATTTATTTATTCTTTAGAAAAAAAATCTTAAACGGCCTGTATTTGTATAGTGCTTTCACTAGCCCCCCCAAAGCGCTTTACACACCCAGTCATCCACCCACTGGTGGAGGCAGCTACAGTTGTAGCCAAAGCTGCCCTGGGGCAGACGGACAGAAGCGAG